AAGAAGTCCGATGAGGGTATAGGGGGGCAGGTCGTCTTCATTTTCACCAAGAGCCCAAGGGCTATTCGGCTCTGACCTGAAGCCAAGTTGTGGCAGGGCGAAATAAGAGACTGTCTTTTTCTCAAATGCAGGCCGAAGCGAACAATCTTAGCTGCAGCCATATCTTCTTTCAGACAGCAAACTGAAAAATTTTTCACGTCAGCTTTTCCTACCAGTCTAGGCTGACGCAGTGAACGCCTCGTAAAAACCGGCAATCAAACTGCCCCAGAGAGGCATCGAATGTGGACATTAACGCACCATTAGAAATGGCCCCATTATGCTAATTTGTCTGCGTAGGGAGTAGGCAAAATGACCTTTCAAAAGGTCTCTCGACAGCAGCTCTGCTGCACATCTTCATCACGAGGTGGATTTAGCCCCAGACCAAAGGCCGGGCTACCTGGCGGGGGTCGGACCAAATGCACCGGCAGCAAGCAAAGAAGTCCTGTCAACAGGAATCGAACTTTGCGCGACCTTAGCGACTACAATCCTTATTTAAGCACTACTGATTATAAATATAAGTAGCCTAGTCGATTAGCATAACAAACAAAAGTGGCCCAGAAATGAAGGCAAGCCAGCTAAACCTGATGTGTGTGTGTGCGTGTGTGGAGTGTTCGGTAGCAGGGTGATTGCAATCAGAGGGCTGCATATTACACTTGTCCGAGGTGATGAGGTTGAAGGAAGGGATGCAAAGCCCCACTTGGACTACCGGGTCGTCATCGCGGTAGGTGGCAACTAACGAGAGATGACAACATCAAGCCTCTATCGGCCGTTTGTATGCCAGACTTTCTCCCTCCGACAGTGCCGACACCAGCACAAATGGAGCAAATGAATGTCAAGGCAACACAGGCACCGGTACCATCAGAAGAGACGCGATTGCAGTCCAAGCGAGAGGGCAATTCGCTACCAAAAGCAGCGCCTTTCTTGCAATGGAGGATCGTGGCAGTTTGACGAAACCCACCTTATCACGTGGAACCGCTGCTGCGTCTTCCAGTCCAATTTGCGTCATGCCGGACTCATGCCCGCCTGAACCCTCAACAGCACTCCGCCTCATATTCGAGGCTCACCAAAGGCACCGACCGAGAGTTATAGCTTCTACTTTCGGACTCGAACTCCTCGAAACGTCTTAGTAGACAAGAGACGTGAGTTACCCTTTATTTCGGATACAAAGTTGAGTGGAAGGCTCTTACAAGCTCGTCAGAAGTCGAAGAAGCCCTTTCTTGAGGCTACAACTATTCAAGTGAGTGTACACTTCCTCACTGTATCATACTCCGTCTCAGAATGCTTCGTAATGAGCTATTGTCTGTCTAGCCGGGAAAATCTCGTCAAAGTTAGAAGCCATACTTTAACGAAATTTGCCAAATGAAATACCAAATCTGTCGGTCGGATAGAATTCTACCCACTTCTCATAGCCTAATTTTAGGGCATCCAAATCTCATATAATCCCCTAACTACAGTACACAAGCCTCCTCAGTAATACAGGGTCACAGGAGAGGCCATTTTGTAAAAGCAACGGATCCTCGACTTAATCTCCATCAAATCTCCCTCATTCCTAAGCATACAAGGGGGAGAAGTGTGAATGAACTAACCAACTTCACAAGAAATAGGTGGGATTTAAGCCAGCCATCAAGTCTTGCTGAGTTTGGTGAAATTTTGTTAAAGACTATAAACACCATGGCAATGACTGTCAAACCAGAGACGAAAGCTCAACACAGACGGACAAGGATAGCAGGAGGGTGGGCCAAAGACCTGTTGTTAAAAGCAAAAGTCGCAACTGAAAAGAAATCTTCCTTAAGTTTCAGGTGAGACCAATTTACGAATCACTTCCTATAAACTTTTCATGGCAGATCAAATTGTTAAGAGGCGCTTCGAAGCCCAACTCTACATCACAAATATAAAATTTATTTGCTGACAAGACAGTGTGTCCTGTCACCATTCATCGAGTGTGACTCAATCTCTTTGAAAAGGATAATCGCCAAACAGTGACCTACCTCCAGGCCAGTTCGTCGTCCTGTCTGCCCCCACACGAAACAGCATTATTAACATTGCAAATGCTTCCTCTCTACGCAAATCACATTTTTTACAAAACAGGCTGAGATCAAAGGAACCCTATATCTTTACAGAAAGATACTTTAATGAGTCAAAAAGCCTTTTCAATTGTGAAATCCGAAAAATGTCAAGACTGGGGTATACGGGCTGTTAGAAATGTGAACCTTTTAATAATTTTGCCTTGTGAGATGTCCACTCAAAAAAAGAATCATATCAAAATTATAGAAACCAGTATCAAAAATAATACGCACAATATAAGTCTCCTTAATCAAACAAGACACAATGGTTTAGCCGCCGACATCGGAATAAAGAAAAAATGGAACATTTTCGATAAAATACGTGTGGAATAAAATGCGCCTTGAAATCCATCAACGAAAGAGGGCCTTCACTTTCATCCAGAAATGAGGCTAAAATCCCAAAGGTAATCGAGCCTATAAACGTACCAAAAACCGTGAATAATCAGTGAAATGAGTAAAATCATTTGCTGTTTCAGCATTCCTCATTACAACTTACTCGTCACTAGTGAGCTCGTGCCCTCATTCATACTCCTTTTCGCTTCCAGCCTCTTTTGACGTGATACAAATACGTATAAAGTGGGTGAGATAGCCTAAATCGACGACTCGGTGTAGTCTATTCTCCTCCAGATCCTGCCCTGATCAGGGTTGGAAATCATTTCGTGCGAAGGTATGTGATGAAGACAATTATAGGACGATTCACTTGGAACGAGGCTAGTGAGGGCAGATTATACAATCGAGAATAGAACAATAAAAGTAATAAAGACGTACCACCGTATAGAGGCGAAGCTGGTACAGACGGTACACGTGCTAGCACCGTGGATAAGGTGTCCTGCTCCAGAGTCTTTTCGGTCTCTTCAGAGATGCTCCGGTCCTCGAGATAGCAGTGGCCGGGCCTTCCGTCAGCCCCAGATCCAGAAAAGACCAATCGGAGAGACGCCGTTGAATTAAGAGAGCTGAATGCAGAATAGAGAATTAACCAAGTCTTTGCAAAACTTTGATATGGAGAGAAGTTGGGTTTTGAAAAATGCATTTGTAGATAAATTCATTTGGTCGAAAAGGTGGATAAAAAAAGATTCGTAAATTGGCCTCACAATCCAACAGTTACAAGTCCAAGGTGAGACCAATTTACGAATCCTTTCAATCCGGATTTTCAGACGAAATTACAGGAATGTCAGCATAATTTTTCTCATAATCATTTTTATTCGCATGATTTCAGAAATATAACCTGATTTTAAAATGTTCCATTTGCCATGGGGCCTGGTACAAGGAATGACAGTGTTTCCATACAAACTTAACTGAAGAAGGGTCTTGATTTTTCAGTAAAATATTGTAAACTGTGCTGCCCAAAAGGCCGATCTCACCTAGGTTTGATGATAGTTTTTATGTGTTCAGTTCAATTACTGCTGGGAGTGTTGATGAAATTGTGTGCCAGTCTAGAGGGATAGTGTAAAATATTCCAATGAAAAAAGCAAATCTTATCTTCAATTTAGTGTTAGCAGAATCTATTTTAACGTAACTATGAAAACCAAGATGTTGTGGCATCTATTTTGGTCGCAGTCTCCCTCCGATGTATAAAAGTAGTCTAACCTTGTCTAGACAACTTTTTCGTGTTGTCAG